ATTAATATTAATATTGACCCAGACAGATACATTTAGATTTTATACTGCTATAATAATATAAGCATCATTCCAAAAGTACCAATTATATACTTGTATCCAACTATGCATTTGCTTTCAAAATCCATAAAAGGCTATCAAATCTTTGCCATTTCCCCCCCTAGTTTAATTCACTTGTGGCCTTTATTTAAGTATTTCCCCCTTTAAATCCAGAATTTCTTCTGCTTAGCAATTTTGTGCAACACCTTATTATTGTGAATTTTAATAATAAATATAATTGTAATACTCATATTATCAACATTTTAGATCGGCCTTATCACAAGAAAGGGTTTATCAAGCTTGCAACAATCATACTGTAACACAAACGGATGTTCCTTTCAGAGATATTAGGTCATTATATCATTACTCTGAGCTTGTCAGGCACGAAAGGCCAGCTACCTATGCAAAAGTCCCATTAAACTGATTTATTGCTAAATGTCTATGCACAGGATTCTTCTCGCCTGCACCTGCTGGGAGTTAGATAAGGATCAGTGGAATTCAAGACTACGTGGGGATTCTAGGCTGATCCCTCCTTTAACTCTGCCTCTAGGTTCTGCCACTCCCCCTCCTACAGAACTATAGCATGTTTACCACTGTTTGCAAAAATTAAAATAGGAAAGTTAAGCGAGTTTAAAAAACTAGGAAACTAAAATGTGCAGCTGTATTTATTCCAACAGGTTTTGGAGTTGGCAGGCAACGCCTCCAAGGATCTTAAGGTAAAACGTATCACTCCTCGTCATTTGCAGCTGGCTATTCGTGGAGACGAGGAGTTGGATTCTCTTATTAAAGCGACCATTGCTGGTGGAGGTAGGTGTTCTCCTGGCTTCTGGATTTTAACTATTTATCAAGGGCAATTCGGTCATGTCCGTGTCAGAGGTTCCCATTTCAATATACAGCAGACATGTCAAACTCACAGCGTCATGTGACATCGCGCAACGTATCGGGATGGTTTTGCCATTGTCGGCAACGGGGTAGGTGTGGCTTCCGGATGACGTGTCCAGCCTGCGGGCCAGCAGTTTGACACCCCTGATATACAGGGAATCCTCCATTTGCAACAGTTCATTTAGTGACCATTTGAAGTTACAATGGCACTGAGAAAGTGACTTATGACCGTTTTTCATACTTACAACCGTTGCAGCATCCCCATGGTCATGTGATTTACATTCGGATGCTTGGCAGCTGTTTCATATTTATGACGGTCGCAGTCTCCCTATTGCGACCTTCTGGCAAGCAAAGTCAAGGGGGAAGCCTGATTCACTTCACAACTGTGTTACTAACTTAACAAGTGCAATGGTTCACTTAACAACTGTGGCAAGAAAGCTCACAAAATGGGGCAAAACGCACGTCAGAAATTTCTCTCTGAGCAACATAAATTTTGGGCTCAGTTGTTGTAAGTCAAGGACTACTACTACTATTTGGACTACATTCTTTGATGTGAAAAAAAAATGGAAATCCAACCTATTTTATATGGAGAAAAATATTTGCTGGAAACCATGTTCAGCAGCAATGAAACTTATGGTACTTTTAACTTAATGTTTTGGGACAGCTTATAAACACTGCACAAGTTTGAAGCTGCCCAACATTCCTGAAGTGAAAAATATTATTACAAAATGTTCCAGCTCATATTTTTGTACAGGGTATTACAATATTACTTGATATATACAACATCAGTTGTGTATTTTTGTCATTATGATTTGTCTTTAATTAAGACAATTTAGCAGTGCTATATTCCCAGTGTTAATTTTAGTAGAAGCGCAAAGCAAACATGGTGAAATCTTTCCTGAAGGACCCTCCATCTCCCATTGTGCTCCTTCCGTGTCCAGATCAAAGTTTAACCTGCCAGATCGAATCCACCTTCTTGACTTTGTTGTTGACCAAAATAAGTCATTTGATCGGTACATGTTTCTGGCAGTAGCCAACATACCAGCAGATGGGCCGGGCTCCGTGTCCCTCCACGTTCACATAACGTGTTATCTGCTAAGAGCCTCCATTTCAGCATACTGGCTTTACATTTAGGCACTCCAACCCTCAATCTATCCAGGATCCTCCAAGTAGTATAAGGACATTTTCATCTTCCACGAAAACCCCTTTAAATCGAAATATTGATTGAAGCGTGTGATTAAAAGAAAAGCAGTTGCTTGAAAACATGAAGTTGGAATGAGGGAGGGAAGAAGAGAGTTCGACATGGCTGCATAAATATCGATCAGCATCTTAAAACGTGATGTTATCGCAGACGTGTCTCCTCACCCTTTGCTCTCTCTCTCTCTCTCTGCAGGCGTAATTCCGCACATCCACAAGTCTCTGATTGGAAAGAAGGGACAGCAGAAGACCGCGTAAAGAGGCGCTTCCGTCAGCCCGCTTCCTCCCTCTCATTGTACTGTAATTGGGACAGAAGAAATATGGGGATATGTGGAATTTTTTTAAAAGAATAGTTAAATGGAAGAGCATAGACAATTGACTGTAGATTAAAACATTTGTATGTTCTAGATTTAAAGTTTGACAAAAAAAAAAGTACCTTGTTACGTGGCAGCAATTTGTGTGTTGATTGGCTAGGTTTCTCCCATGTGTTTTATACAAAAATGGAACGGATAAAACCATTTTTTACAAAACCTATTCTTGTGTGTCATTCTGGTATACAAGGGATAAATCCAGTAAAATTAAATTGAAAGGTTTAAAACAGTCACATATTCTAAACTTGGATATAGCCACATTCATGGTTAACTTTGTTTACTCTTACTTATTAACACAGAGATCAAAGTCCAGATTTTAATGTCACTTAAAATAACTTTTATGAATTTTAACAATACAGCTTTTTTTTTAAAAAAAAAATCTTTTTGCCTAGAATCTTTTCTCTAAATTCCTACACTGCACAAACATGGAAAGTGTTGCAGTGTCCTATTAGCAAAGATGCCCATCCTGAATTTTGCTGCTCATGGCTGATAACCTCACTGAAGGTCGTGGCTTTGCAGTGAATACTACTATATTATTGAACCAGCACACTTGCTTTTATTTCAGTTATTATTTTCTGACAAACACATCTGTAACAAAATACTAAATCAGCAATGCTGCCTTGGTTACAACTGGAAATGCTACCTTATAAACAAGAATCAGTGTTTCTTTCCACTAATAATTTTCAGAACTGCTTTACACAATGTCGCTGATTAAGCATAATGGTCTCAAATCTCCAAATGCTTGGCTTACCTATAGCTGTTCTCAAATTAATTTGTATAAATTTTATCTCAGTTATAATTCCAGGATTACTCTGATTAGTAATTAGTAATTTTTAGATTAGTAATTTAAAGCTATACGGACTTGTAGTCTTTAAAGTAGATTATTGTTAAGAGTTTTGGATTGAAGGAGGTCAAATAGGGTTTCGGTTGTTTCTCCATTCCTATCAGTGTGGACGGCTATTTGTATTTTTTAAGTACTATTCACTATATTCCTGTGCATTGTAAGTAATTTTGAACTTTGTCCTTATTAAAATAGCTTTCAAAATGCTACATATGGTAAAACTGACATGAAATTATTTAGGGAAGTTAGATGCAATGGCCAATTTGGATATGGATTGGGACTTTGCGTTACATTTGCTGATTCCATGGTAATCTAATAAAATACTGTCCTAACAAGGCAATATTTATATAACAAAGTAGATCTTTGAATTTGCAATAGTTTTTCCCCCCTACTCCTGCTATAGTAGGAGTAGGGTGTTTCTTTTCTTAGGAACAATAATTAATATAACTCTTGTGTAATTGATAACCTGGACCTGCTAGCTACAGAACAGTCAAGGCTTCTGTTACTAAAGGCTCAGCATTCTAGGAATTGGAACTTCCATACTGATGATGCTACAACTTTTTATTTTTGCTGATGGATTAACAATGTCAACAATGCTTTGCTAATGAAAGAGGTTGTTTTCTAAGAGATAAATAAAAGAGAAAGGATTGATTGGAGTGAAAGGTGATTCTTGTCAGGAGTTGAAAACAACTAATTTCCAGACTGTTTAATGCTTCAATCACAGTGCAGAAAATTAATATTCTTGTTGCTAAGATCTAAATGTTATTGTTACTTGGCCACATTTTAGGCAGATAACTGAAATGGATGTGAGTGTAATGGAATATCTGTAGGTTCCAGGATTAATTTAAGTTACACATTTCTTAGATGTTGATTGAAAGAAATACTAAAGGCCCACAATCAAAGTGCCAGTGTCTTTTGGACAGAAAAGCCACTGAAAAGAAGGGCCTGATTTCAAATTCTAATTAAATCATTTCTCGTGCCAAAAGTCTTACCTGGCACTCTGGAGTCCCTACCAGTAAGAACTAAGCTAACTATATGTAAGAACTAACTACCAGTAAGAACTAAGCTAACTATAAGCTAAATAGGCATGCAAACACCTTAGTTTACAGCAGGGGTGTCAAACTGCAGGCCCGTGGACTGGTTTCATCATACCAAACCTGTGCCCACCCCATTGCCAGCAATGCAAAGAGTCGTGATACATCGCGACACGTCACGTGACGTGAGTTTGACACCCGTGGTTTACAATGTTGAGTCAACCCACTGTTGGCTAGAAAAGAAGCTGAATTCAATTTTTGCAAGCTGTTTATAGGAATATGGGGACATATGTCAACAACATCCCTTTTGCATGGCCCAATTAAATACCAGATTTTCAAGAAGAACAGTGGATCTACATCCTCTAGCTTAAACTAAAGTTTTGGGGGGAACATAACCATAAAGAGCACAACTTCACCTGTTGGGATCGCTAGAAAAGTTAAAACACTTATCAAAAAGTTGCTTTTTGCCTCAAGCGCTTCCCCAAGGATCTCAAAACCTCCAACTTCAGGTCTGGCTGTTTGACCATAAACAGAGTCGGTATATGGTGTAGAGTTTAATTTCCAGCTCCTTCGAAAGAAAAACGGGGAGATTTGTGGTGGAATATTCACAGAACGCCCAACTTGGCCTCTACGCAAGACTCAGCACCAGTTGAAAGTCCGTCCCACCATGGCAAAAAAGTCCTCGTTGTGCTGACTGAAATAGGTGCAGAGTCGCTCCAGCAGTAATTCATCGACGGTGGGGTGAGGTCGGCCTTTCGACTGGTCAAGGCAGTGCCGTTCTCCTTTGGCCTGGAGGCAAAAGAAGCCTTTTGTTTCGTTGAAGTAAAAGTTGTCTGGGCCCAGGTAAGGCTCCAGTCCCAAAAACTGCTCCACGTGACGCATCTCCGAATCTGGCTGCCGTATCAGGCCGCCTCCATCTACCACGTGGATCTGCGTTGTAGGGAAGAACTCCAGCCACCGAGCCAAGTGTAGCGCGTAGAGGCTGCGCTGCATGGCCTTGTAGTTGGTGTTCAGCTCTTGGCCCCTTTTCAGGATTTCCTCCAGGGACTGGTACGGTTTCTGCCGGGCTTTGCGGTTGTAGAGGATCTGGGTGTAATCGGACACCAACCTTTCCACGGGATCCCGCACAATCAAAAGGAGCTTCACGGAACGGTCCATGGCATAGATCCGCTCCGGGGCCTCGAGGGAAGAGAAATAGCCCGGCGTCTTCTCCACGGTGATTTGAGCGCTGTGGGAATTGGGCATCTGTTCGCAGTACCAATCCAATCCCTTTTGGTAGTTCTCTTCCACGTTGAAGAAATGTATCTCGGAGTGAGCAGCTGCGATTTGGGGGTGTAGACTCAGCATCTCCAGCAAGGCCCGGGTGCCCCCTTTCCTCACTCCAATAATTATGCCTTTGGGCAGCCGTTGCTTCCAATCCTCATCCAGGGCATCGGAGGCGTTCCTTTTCCACTGGTCCAACAGGTCACTCACGACGTCGGAGTCATTCTTTGTCCAGCTGGTCTCCCAGCGTCCTTCTTGCGAATAAATTTCACACATCTTCAGACATAGCAGCAGCAGGCAAATTCTGGCCATTTCTGACCCTTCTCTGAGATAGTAAGCGACAGAGGCAATAGTTTTCCTCTACCCTCCTCGATCTGACCCCCCCACACACACCGTTCTTCTAGCTAGGAAGGAATCCTTCTGTAGAAAACTATGCTGCTTGCTGGTATTTCACATTCCAGTGCCCAGACTGGCAGCAATGCAAATAAGCCCTTCAGCAGAAAGATATTTGCTTGAGAAAGTTGTTACCCCCTGAAAAAGATAGAAATATGGTCACAAAGCTCGAGTGACAGTTAAAACTCCGTTATTGTTACTAAAGGCCAATGATGCAAGGCAAATCTACCTCTTGCGCTAAACCAGGGGTAGGCAACCTTGGCTCTTTTATGACTTGTGGATTTCAACTCCCAGAATTCCTGAGCCAGCATGGGGGAACTATGGCCCCTTCATGACTCGTGGACTTCAACTCCCAGAATTCCTGAGCCAGCACGGCTCAGCTTGGAAACCTCTCCCTTTCCCCTCAGCATGGCTGCCTCAGGAATTCTGGGAGTTGAAGTCCACGAGTCATAAAAGCCAAGGTTGCCTATCCCTGTGCTAAACCATCACATATTTAGTTTAGCATAGCGTATTAGCCCACATTGGTAGTCTGCAAACCATAATTCACTATGTGTTTTAATATTTCTTATCTTTTTGCAAGCCGCCCAGAGTTGCTTTATCGGTGACATGGGCGGCATATAAATTTAATAAATATAAATACGTAATAATTAAAATGTGGATTCTAGCTAGCTTTGGGTTTAATAAGTTGGGGAAATCTTGAGGAAGATCGCTGTATCAAGGCGTCACTGCTCCAGCTAGACCTGGGCAGGGGGTTGGACTAGAAGACCTCCAAGGTCACTTCCAGACCTAGGATTCTATCTCTAGTCTATAAAATTGAGTCTCTGTCTGAGAAATGGATTCATGGGAAGCTCACATTAAAGATGGACTGCACCCTCAACTGTTATTGTTCGGAGAAATCCGAACACAGGGCAGCCATACCTGTGAATTTCTTCCTCAGATGACACTTTGCTCCCTGCTGTCTGGAAACCATTCCTCTCTTGTGGCTTTCAAGCTGCAATGTTTTCTTTTTAACGCTCCAAGGCCTCGTAGCGTAGCTGGCTGTACTTTTTGTCCTGCAAACAAAGGCAAACCAACCTCCACTTGGAGGCTGCGGCTTGCCAGATTCAGTGCCAAGTGGAATTCCTGGGTCCGCATGAACTGAGCAGAATTGCACAACTACTCATCGTACTGCGTAACTAAACAAAACATCAGGAAAATGCTCGATTTCCCGACTTTGGGTGGAACCTAAAACTTGCCTTCCAGCTCTCGAGTTTCTGTCCATACAGGTAGTCCTCAACTTAGGATCAAAATTGAGCCCAACATTCATGTTGCTATGTGAGACATTTGTTAGGGGGAACTTTGCCCCATTTTACGGCCTTTCTTGCCACAGTTGTTAAGTGAACCACTGCAGATGTTAAGTGAATCTGGCTTTCCCCCCCCCCCTTGACTTGGCTTGTCAGAAGATTGCAAAAGGGGATCACATGAACCCGGGACGAGGACTACCTGTACATAAATAAATACATAAAATAAAAACATCAGAAAGAACAAATACTTCTCTGTCATCCTCCTGTGTTTCCCTTCTACAAACTACACCCAGATTTATTTTAACCGCATCCTTGTAAGGTTAGCAGGATGCTCAGTTTCCACGCTCTCGGCCCACATTTGTTTATTTGTTTATGCAAACAAAAAAGCAGCAGCCATTTCAAAAGAGAGAGGGATCCTCTGGTGGTGCCTGCGCTTGGTTGCCTACCTTTGTGTTAATTGCAGCACCCTTTTTGCCTCGACCTCTGATTAGTCCAGTTCTGTGAATTTCATACAAACAGAAGAATGAATGATACGGCGTTCTTATAGGTGCAGAATCCCCCCTACTGTATATCCTCTCCTCCTGCCCCCACCACAAGATTCATGGAAGCCTCACCTCCTTTTCCTGTTAAATGAGACCCTAGGGGCCAGACTAGCATTCTTACTTGCGTGGATCTGCCTGCTGAAATTCCTCCCCAGAGCTCAGCCTGGCGTCACTCCGGGCCTTTGGATGCCTTGAACAGCATGATGAACTTCTCTGGCAGCCCCTCAAGGCCCATCCAGTTCCCCAAATTGCATCTGCTGAGCTCTAAACAATTTCAACGCTGCTCAAACGCCGGCCAGAGGGGTTTACGGTTAACGTAAAGGTCTCCTGCTTGAGCAGAGGCTTGGATAGAAGACCTTCAAGCTCCCTTCCAACTCCCATTCCATTCATTTCCATTCTACTCCATATTTAATCTATTACAAAATTAAATAAATTAAACCAGCATGGCTGGCTGGGGAATGCTGGGAGTTGAAATCCACAGGGGTCTCACCAGTGCGGTATAAAGCGGTACTAATACTTCATTTTTTCCAGGAGTCTTGCTATTATTCCCGTAGGAATAGGATAGCGACTAGACAGGAACAGATCGTAGGGAAAAACAGTGACTACTTGGCTTCATAAATAAGTGTCATGTCAGAAGGCAATAGCATGAAGGACACTGGCCTTTCACCCATCTGGCTTTTTCAGCCCTGTCTAAAGATGCAGAGATTGAATTGGGGCCCGCTGCATGTTGACACCAAGAGCCCCCCCCTTTCTAAATCCTGAACTGTCCTAAGCACGGAACAGAAAAGCAACAGAGGCTGGATAGCCCTTTTTGCAGAACTCTCCTTAGAAGTTGTTTTCAAGCTTGCTCTGATCTAATGAGAAAGATCCTCCTATGGGGAAAGTTTTCCACTTCCTAACACTGGCTAATGACAGGGTATGACATGTTTGGGGTCCCAAGAGCAGAGCGTGGAGGTGTGTAGATTGTTTCCAGGGTAACCACAGCGGGAGAATTGCCAGGGAGGTGTGCGAGATATTCCTGTGTTTTCCATGCAGGCAGGAGAAGATTTGAAGGGTGGGAGTACTTGAAAATGGCTTAAGTGGGGCTCTGCGGGAAAAATCAGTTGGGCAACTATGGCCCCTTTATGACCTGTGGACTTCAACTCCCAGAATTCCTGAGCCAGCGTGTTAATGTACAATTAGTTCTTTTCTATGACTACTTCCCCAAATTCTCCCATCTCAAAGCTGAATTTGGAATGGCTTTGGAACTAACAGAGCTGGAAGGGGAGGGAGAGAGAGGACCATTGAGGTATGAAGATCAACCCAAGTTCACTCCAGACATCCTTGGTGCCCGATGGCCTGAGTTCCCATTGGCATCTTTGAACAGCTGCTGTGTACCCAGGAGAGGCCGCTGCTAGACCCCAAACCACGCTTGACTGCTAAGTCCAGTTCTGCCTTAATTTCCCACAATACCTTGAAGTCACCTTATTCCAAGGCATTCTGGGAGATGGGATTACAGCCCCAAAGCCCCTTTGGGAACAGTAATTGTCCACCTCTGTTTAAGAAGCATCTTCTGGAAGACATTCCTGGCAACAAGATGCCCATTAGAATAATAAGAGTTGGAAGCCACTGAACAGTAAAGTCACGAGATAAGCCAGCATTTTACGACTTTTGCCACGGTTAAGTATATCACAGCAATTGCCACGGTCGTTAAGACAACCCAGCTTTCCCCATTGACTTTGCTTGTTGGAACAACAACTTTGACATCGATTTCCAAAGGAAAGCCAAATGAGTTGCTGAACGCCCAGATATAGGAAGACATATAAGGTGCCACAAAAAAGGTGCCATGCTTTGAATTGACCACATCATCAATGGACAATTCGCACCTGGCACTCTCTGTACAAATGGGGCATAATATCCTCCCCTCATTGTGACCGCAGGGTCTCACCTCAAACCGTAGATCACATAGTGACTGGCTATAAGTGGAGGGCAAATACGGCTCCAGCATCTCATTTTTTTTTAATACAGGTAGTCCTCGACTTACAACAGTTCGTTTAGTGACTGTTTGAAGTTACAACGGCACTGAAAAACGTGACTGATGACCGTTTTTTCAGTTATAACCGTTGCAGCATCCCCGTGATCAAAATTCAGGCGCTTGGTAACTGGATCCTATTTATGACGGTCGCCATGTCCCGGGGTCACGTGATCCCCTTTTGCGACCTTCCGATAAGCAAAGTCAATGGGGGAAACCCGGGTTCACTTTACAACCGTGTTACTAACTTAACAACTGAAGTGATTTACTTAACAAGTGTGGCAAGAAAGGTAAAAAAATGGGGGGAAATTCACTTAAATGTTTTACTTAGCGACCGAAATTTTGGGCTCAATTGTGGTCATACGTTGAGGACTCCCTGTATAGCCGAGGCTGCGCTTCAGTGGTTAGATGGCCTAGACATTGATATTTGAACATAGATCTTTTAAACATCTATATTTTATTGGGTTCTACTAATCTAGTTGAAATGTTAATATAGCATTGCTAGTCCAGGTATGATATGCCACACGCTGAATAAATGAGTAATCACGCTCCCTGGAACAGACAGTACATTTTTGCAATAAATCAATTAGAAGTCCAAATAGAAAACTCTTTCCATTTTTCACCTGGCAGTACTTTGGACTCAAGCTCTTATGACCCCCCTCTGGTATCAGGGGCGATGGGAATTGTAGTCACAACAACATCTCTAAGGTCACAAACTCCCCTTCTCCTAATTGAGGATTTATGGGGAAATGAGTTCTGCATATAATATCATTGTCAATCCACCACATTCATTTTAGACCAAAATAAAACGAAAAAAAAGAAAAAGAAACTCAAGATTAGTAGTCTCACTTTAAAAAAGAAGAAGAAGTGAAAATAGTCTTTCTCCTAACTTTCAATTCTTTGAGACTGTTTGATTTCCAGTCTGGCTTGGAACTAGCAGGTGTTTTGCAAAGCAGATCAAAAAAGAGAGAGAAGCAAACAATTCAGTTTGCATTAACAATACTAAGCATTAACATTTTTTATAGGGCGTTAAAGGACAGGGGCTTAATCTGCACTTAATCTGCTAGCAACAAGCAAAGCAATGGAAAAATCCCCGCGACCACATTCTTTCCGTAGGTCAAAGAACTTCCCGATTCCCTGTCTTACCCCCAATTTATCCAAAATTCCTACCTGTCACAGAGCACCAATTTAGCCACAGCTACAGGACCCACTTTGCTTCTGTCCAGGTGTGCTGCTTCTTTGTACTAAAGTCTCCAGCCTGCCCACAGCACCAGGCAGTCTCCCAGCACTAATCTCATCTTGCCCTCCTTCCTTGGGGGAAAGAGAGAAATTACCGCAGTCTTCTGGGGACGGGGCGGATTGAGAACAACAAACCAAACTCTGGTTTGAACAGCAAAGCAGCAAGCAAGGAAGGCAGGAGCAGAGCTCTTGAGATTCGGAGCAAACACATGCCTCCATCAGGAAAAAGCAACCCGTATCCACAGTTGAGTTAGGATGGAGGGATGTGCAAGACCTCAGCTTCTTTAGAACGTTTTATCAGCAGAGAGGCTGCCAAGAATAAGGGATGAGGAAGAAGCAAGAATATCCTCAATTTGCAGCTGGCCTCTTAGCTATGGTGTTGACAACAGTTCCATTTGCAGAAAGGGGTTGCACATTGAATGGATGTGTAAGTGAGGAGCATTATCAGAGACACTTCATCTGACATTCAGTGGCAGCCATCACTTATCTCCAGCTCTGAAAATGCTTAGGGTCTCTGGCCTCCAAACCTTTTGCTTTGGTAATACAGATGGGCTCTGGAAGAAAATGGAAACAAGGAAGCTTTATTAGATTACTGGGCTGGGAGTTACAATTATGACACGACTGAAGACTTCCTGTATATGCTGCCTTAAACTCCTAAATGTCAACGCCCAGCTTGAGAATCCAAATAAAACTCCAGGTACGCTCCGTCTCCGAAAATCTTGCTGTTTACTGAATGCGCTGTGTGGTAACGTCAAAGCAAAACTAACTCTGAGGTTCCAACATCAATTCATAGACTTAAACAATAATTTTCCCAGCCACGCCCCCAACGTCTTACATAGTCCATATAAACGAGTTGCTTTGTTATGGGAACCGTCTGCTTCAAATCCACACCTGTTCTGGTGTCCTTGACAAGGCTTCATGCTCTCACCGTCTTCAGCTGAATCAATGAAGTTTCGTTCTCCATCTAACCCACTTGAAAGTAACACCTCCCCCACCTTACTCTGAAGGCAAGTCGAAACGCAGAGGCACCTAACTGCCAAAGTTTCATCCTTGACACTAAACCTCTGCCAACCTCCAGATGTGTTATTTTCAGGTCTCAGAAATCTCAGCATTGGCCATGCTCAGCTGGGGGATTCCCCCACCCAGTCTGGAAGATGTCCATTGCTGTAAGGCAGCAAAAGCAGTATATAAAGATAAATAAATAAAAGATATATACTACTGACTGTGGCCATCATAGAGACAATCTAGGATCCCTCGTGGAACACAGGGGAAAGCAATGCTTTATTCAGTGAGGCTATCCGGTGTGTGACACACTCCGCAAACCATACAAGGTCCTTCCTTTTTAAAAGGTGAATTTTATTAAAAAGTGGGTGCATTATGGTGCAAAGCTGTGATTTTGTTTTGGATAAAGTGCACAGGCAGTCTTCGACTTAACGGCCGCAACTGGCATCAGTATTTCTGTTGCTAAACATAATCTCCTTTATCTCAAGCTCAATTTCCTAGTGGTAGCCAGAAAAGTCTGAATAACTAAAGGGCTTTGCAAATTAGTAGTAGTGACATTATCTGGGAATTTGCACTAGCCATTCCTGGGGGTTTGGGGTAGTTGCCAGTAAGGTCCAGGCCATTTCTTTTCAAAAACGCTCAGTGCGTCATTTTAAGGGTTCACTAATAGGCATTTACGACAACACAATCAACACAACACAAACAAAACCATCCCTTTCTTCATTATTTAATTATCGGTCAAATTTATGTAGCTGCCCATCTCACCAAGGGTGACTCTGGGTGGTGCGCAGCCATCTGTTGCCAGAGTGGGAAAATGTTATTCCCCACAGAACGGAAAACCTCTTGGTTAGGAGAGCAATCCTCCAGGAATTTGTCTTAATTGAATGTTGTGTGTTTCTCAACAAGCAGCTGCAGGCTTCTGTTTTTCTGCTGTGTTCTCAGAGCAATGGATAATTTCTGTCCACGTTTTGCCCGCTGCTCAGCTTTTTTAAAAATTTGGTAAAAGGTGGCTAGAAGTTGGATGGAAGGCTAGCTAGTTATTTCCAGGGCTATAGGCCAGATGTAAAAGCTTGGTTGTTCTTGTGTTTTTTTTAAAGCAAAACAAAATTAGGGAAAAAAATAGTGGCCGATCGCTTCCATTTTGTTGCTCGAAAATTATGTGGAAAGCTGATTTTGAAGAATTTCTGTCTCCCCTTTTTTGGGCCCACCTAAGGTCCTCTCGGCCAATCTCTAGGCGGGCATGTTTTATTTATTTATTTAATTTTCTGAATCCAGAACATCTTACGTTAAAAGGGAATATGATAATTAAATTAGTATAATAATCTAAATAAAGGAAACCTTTCAATAACTATGGTAACAAATATAAAAATTAAAACACAAGGAATTTAAAACACGTTTGCGACGTTGTATAGCAGGGGTCTTCCAACTTGGCCCTTTGATGACTTGTGGACTTCAACTCCCAGAATTCCTCAGTCAGCCTCCATTTTGTTTGTTAGATTTAAGACAGGGGTCTTCCAACTTGGCCCTTTGATGACTTGTGGACTTCAACTCCCAGAATTCCTCAGTCAGCCTCCATTTTGTTTGTTAGATTTAAGACAGGGGTCTTCCAACTTGGCCCTTTGATGACTTGTGGACTTCAACTCCCAGAATTCCTCAGCCAGGCACGCGTGCCTGGCTGAGGAATTGTGGGAGTTGAAGTCCACAAGTCATCAAAGGGCCAAGTTGGAAGACCTCTGGTCATAAGTGTGAAAAACAGCCATAAGTCATTTTTTTCAGTGTGTTTGTAACTCTGAACAGTCATTAAACAAACTGTGGTTAAGTTGAGGACAGGAAGCAGAGGAGATGCTGCTGCTGGGTGTCACATGCTCTCAGAAGCACCTGCGTTTGTAATGCTGCCGTGACCTGGTCCTCAGGGCAAAACTTTCAGAGCCAAATGAAGAACTGGCTGAGGCTTATCTAAGCGTATCTCCTGCCTCGCATCAGGAAGTTAATCCATGCCAAGAGTGGGTTGCAGAAGAATCGGTTACCATCCTGGGCTAGCGGGCAAAGTGTCCTTCTACGGCCCAACCCAATTAACATTTAATAGATCAGGAATGTATCACCAGGCTGTCAATTATTATTATTCTTTTTTTGGGGGGTGAGTGGAAGGGAAATGTAAAACTTCCTTACGTTGAGCTTAAATCTTGGTTCAGGGCAGCAAAATGGAAGTGACATGCTTGTGTTCTTGCAGGATGCTTTTATTGATATGGCTGCCGATATCATTAAGGCACATTTGGGTGGCTAACCAGAATTAAGTGAGTTCACGTCCCGCCTTAGCCACGAATAATGGCTGGGTGACTTGGGGTCAGTGACTCTCTCTCAACCCAACCTGCCTCACAGGAATGTTTTGTGAGTTATCAATTGGATAAGAACTGGAAGGGACCTTGGAGGTCTTCTAGTCCAATGCCCTGCTCAAGCAGGAGACCCTATACCATTTCAGGTAGCTGTTGTCAAATTTTTTCTTAAAAACCTCCAGTGATGAAGCACCCACAACTTCTGAAGGCAAAGCTGTTCCACTGGTTAATTGTCCTCGCTGTTAGGAAGTTTCTCCTTAATTCCAGGTTGCTTCTCTCTTTGATCAGTTTCCATCCATTGTTTTTTGTCCTGCCCCTGGGTACTTTGGAAAATAAGATGACTCTTCTTGTGTCAGCCCCTCAAATACTGGCATACTGCTATCATCTCATGGGTAAAATAGGAGGAGGAAGGTGTGTTGGACATGTTGGCTGCCTTATTTGTAAAAATAATACAGACAATCGTCAACTTACAACAGTTCTTTTAGTGACCATCTATGACAGCCTTAGATAGCATGATGCACCTCGGTATTAAAATATTTTAAGCAAAGAATGTCAAAGCGCTGGTAGATTCATTACCTTATGAGTTGAGTCTCAACTTAGATTTGGGTAATTCTACAGGATAGCTAGAGCACTTAGACTTATAAACCTCTTCATAGACTTTACAGCCGTCTCTGAGCAGTTTACAGAGTCAGCCTATTGCCCCCAACAATCTGGGTCCTCATTTTACCGACCTCGGAAGGACGGAAGGCTGAGTCAACTTTGAGCCGGTCAGGTTCAAACTGCTGGCAGTGAGCAGAGTCAGCTTACAATACCACATTCCAACCACTGCACCACCAGGGCTCTTAGGAGAGATGACCATATATTTTGTATTTTTTGTATTTTATTTTTCGCAAGGCACTGGCTGTTCCCCCAGGTGTTTGCATGAGTGATGGGGGGGGGGAGAGACTAATTGTGCTACTATTGATGGTTAATAGTTAACAGTTTATCCCTGGGCATTGGGGGGAGTTATATTCCTCAACAACCGTGGAAAAAAGGTCATAAAATTGGGTGCGACTCAGTGGCAGGATTCAGCTGGTTTGCACTGGTTCAGCTAAATTTTGTCAAGTTCTGAGAACTGACTGAATGCACACCACTTCTGGAAGTCCGTTCTAGGCCTCGGAGGCCTGGAGGAGGCCTCTCAGGCCTAAAACGGCCCACCGGAAGTGCATGGATGCCACTTCCGGAAGTCCGTTCTAGGCTCTGACGTCCAGGCCTGCATCCACGCAGAGAACTGGTTGTTCAGATATCTGCATCCCACTACTGGTGCGACTCATTTAACAACCACATTGCTTAGCAACAGAAATTCTGGACCCAATTGCGTTTGTATGTCAAGGATTAGCTGTGAGCCTGTTAAGGAAAAAATCAAAACAGAAACCAACAGAGTATGAAAAAAACGTGATGTATTTCCTAAAGTTCCATTGACACAATCCAGAAATAAATTGTCTTAGATCATACACACACACACACACACACACAAGTGAAGGTTATATGAAGTGTAACCTGGGTGGTTCTCATTCATTTGTGAATTCCACAGGGTGAAAAAACTGCTTTGCACAACAAAGGCTCAAGCATTTCTCTCTTCAGGCGGTAGATACTCCAGTCCTAAATGCTGAAAAATCTCTTCCTCGGAGGTAGCGGCCAGGAAAATTTTCTGAAGAACATGCAAAAAATAAGCATGTATATATGAATCAGTCAGTGAAGACCTTTTTCCACTTGGCAAATTCCCCGTAGCTAAATAATTTGTACCCAGGTCTCAACAAACTCCGATCAAAAACCCACAACTACCTCATCTGTCCTGAACCTTTGCAGAAAAAAGGGTCTACCCAAGGGTGCCAAACCCTCCTGAGATTCTTGCTCCAGGGACCTCTTACCTGCTCTAGGTGATAGAGGCCATGGCTGTTGAGGGTCATCTTCTTCTCACGCTTAGAGAAACGGCGGAGGTCTCGTTCAAAATTCTGGGAAGGTAAAGCGCCAGGAGGATTCCATTTGTTAATCAACAACAAAGTCTCCTCTGAATGTGAAATATATGAGGAGTTTGCCCGACGCATCTCGGAAAGATGACCTGTTCCCTCCCAATCTTTGAATCAGTTTTGGAAGGCTGGTGAATGAATTTGCCATTCCTAGGAATGCCAGACTCCTGGACATCCCAAATTAGATGTCAATTCTGATTGCTAGTGAGAAGGAATAAGGTCTTCAATCAGGTACTTCAAATATCCAGCTAAGAAAGCTTTGAAAACTCACAATAGGCTAACCGGAAAATCATAGAAGAATGCTTTTGCCTTCCTGTAATTGAAATCTATTATTCCATGCACTCTGGAACAAATAAGAACAGCTTAGGGGGTTTTCTTTTTATAGTTATCTGAATTAAATTTCTTTTTTTTACTTTCACCCTAGTTCTTTAGCATATCCATTCTGAATTTGATTTCAGTCTTCTGCAGGATCACAGAAGGAAAATGCCTAAGATTCTTCTTCTGCAGGAGATTGTGTTGAACTCCAGAAAACAAAGGAAATTATCTCAAAGTGCACACAAGCGAGAGATGGGAGATTCTATTACAGGCTTATAAAATAGAAACGGCTCTTAATCCTTCATGCAAACATTCCAGGAAGAAGAAAGTCAACCGTTTCAAAGAGATCATGGCCAAGAATTCAATAACAATGGAGGCCCAGAGGGTTTCTATTTCAGTTCCAACATTCTGTACTCTTAAGCTCTGATCGTTGGCCCAGAAACTCATTCAAGAAAGCCTGGATGAATCTTTCTTCCAGTCTGCAGTGAAGGGACTTGACCTTTTCTCACAAGAGTTGAAGAAGGATTGAAGTGTAAAGGTTAAAACAAACAGGAGCACCTAGCATCTCCAGATAAACTCAAAAAAGCACCTGCTGGAAATTCTGGACGGAATGGAGGAAGAGAAAGGGAGAAGGACAGGAAGAGAAAGGGAGAGGGAGAGATAAGAGAGAGGGAGAGGGAGAGAGGGAGAGAGAGAGACTCTGTGCCCAAATTTGGAGTCCTAGTTAATTTGATATCCCAAATACCTGCATGGTTTAGCTACTGGATGGATGGATATAGATAGAGGATGATAGAGATACATGAGAGAGAGAGAGAGAGAGAGAGAGAGAGAGAGGGGAGAGAGAGAGAGAGAGAGAGGGAGAGAGAGAGAGAGAGAGAGATATTGGTAGATGGATGGATGGGTAAAGAGATCGATAGATCTATAGATAGGCAGGCAGGCAGGCAGGCTCTGCTACCCAATTCGGACTCCTCCTCAATTTGACATGAAAAGCTCCTTAGGAACTCTCTGGCACCAACCTTTTCCCCACCCCCAAATGAATACAAAACCAAGTTTGAATACAGGGCCCAGCCCACATGGAACTCACCCGTGAGCCGGTCCAGCCAAGCAGAGCAAAAGGAAACTGGCTGAAGGGGGTCACAACCAAATCCACCCGCACAGCTGTCCGGGGACAGGATGCACCGGGCCCCACTGAGGCGCCGAGCTTCTGAAGCCCAGTAACCCCCGGATGGCTTCCAGCAAGATCCCCAAGATGGAAGATGGAGAGGCAGCGCTCAAAGTGGTCCATGGTGCTTGAACCGCCGCTAACCCACAGCTCTTCATCTTCGAGGGAGAGGAAGCTGCTTCGGTGGAAACTGTGATACAGCAAGAAGCCCTGAGGAAAGAGAACCCCGTGGAGGAGAATCAGGTCGTCCCCAACTTACAATCATTCATTTATGGACCATTCGAAGTTACAATGGCACTGAAAAAAGTGACTTCTGACCGGTTTTCACACTTACGACTGCCGCCGCATCCCCAAGGACATAATTCAGGCATTTGGCAACTGTCCCAGGATCGTGTGATCACCTTTTGTAATCTTCCCAGCTGGCTTCCGAAAGGCAGAGTCAACAGGGGAAGCCAGATTTGCTTAAGGACCACGTGATTCACTTAACGACTGCTGTGATTCGCTTAATGCAGGGATCTTCCAACTTGGCCCTTTTATGACTTGTGGACTTCGACTCCCAGAATTCCTCAGCCAGGCATTTTTTCTTGTCTTGCCTTCTGGTGCTTTGGAAAATAGATTGACTCTCCTTTTCTTTGTGGCAGCCCCATAAATATTGGAACACTGCTATCGTATCACCCCCTACTCCTTCTTTCCTCTAGACTGGCCATACCCAATTCCCGCATCCCTTCTACACATGTTTTACCACCAGTCCCCTAATCACCTTTGTCGCTCTTCTCTACATTCTTTCCAGAGTCTGTAATTATTTTTTTATATTGCGGCGACCAAAATGGGATACAATATTCCACGTGTGGTCTTTGATATGTTACATTTCAGATGTATATTCTCATCAGCCTTACCAGGTAGACTGGATAGGAAACATAGCCTAATTCTACTTTTACTGTAAATTGTTTGTGTATATGTGTGTGTTTGTATGTTTGTGTAAAATTCAGCGTGTGCGAATGAAATGAATGTGTTGAGTAAGGAAGTGTAACCCTTCTAAACAAAGAGCAATTAGATTCATGGTTTAATTCTTATGCACCTTTGAAAGTTGGCAATTTCTACATTGCAGATCTGTGACTTCAATGCAACTTAAAAATAAACCATACAGTACATTTACTGCTTCCAGATCTGCCTGTTTTGCCAGATCCTCCTTGCGTTCAAGTCTTCACCTACCTGGCTCTCCAGGACACTGATGACTTTGCGCAAAAGTCCCAGTTCTTGACCTTCAGAAGGGTGGGTGATGAGCAGGTCCACGTCATGGCCACATGGCTTCCCTCTATTGGGGGGAGACAGACTGTAGCCATAAATTTCCCGTCAAGTTTGTTTTTATTGGCATTTAACATTGTTAACAGGGCTAAACATGGCTGCGTCAACCACCATTGGCTGGCTTCAGACAAACCATTACAATCAAATCAGAACATAGCACAATGGGGGACCCATTCACTGAAAGGGCTCAAAAAATGGGTCAAAGGAACGTGGCTTTAATGGGTAATGGGAATCCAGACATGACAATTTTTCAATCTCTCATCCTTTTATACTGATTTCCTAGCACCAACAAGTTCCAGCTATATGGACATAAATGCAGAGAATTCCCCAGCTAGCACGATTATTGCTAACATTTCAGGGAAATAAATCTGCCCCTCTGAAAATTTATTTATCAGTCAATCCATGAGGTTCTTAATCGATTCATGGTTGAAGCATGTTTTTATCCACTGATGGTTGACATTTATGACCTCAGGATTTCTAGCTACCAGCAGCACTGGGAAAGACTGGAACCGCCCACTTTAACTAGCTTTTATTTCCCCATGTTATACAGTGTTCGCTGTCCAAATCAATTCACCTCCTAAATCCTCCAGTCAGCATGACCATCGCTCCAGGCAAAACCTCCTCAACTACCTTGTGCACCACCTGGCTGATGGCCTCGGCCTCCCAGAGCTCCACGGGGGTATTCAGATCCTCGTAATGAAGAAGTCCTGCAGGGAAGATCAGGCCCCAAAGTCATTAAGAAGCAATCAAGGATCATCTGGAGCAAGGTATTCTATACTGAATAGCTAGAAATGTAATTTAAGGGCCAGGTTCATATCCTGATGTCATGGTTCCGACAGATGAAACTCTTCAAAGAACTTCGAGGCCTTGTTTATCTTAAAGAATCTTTGTTTGAGTAGCATGGCATCGGCATGTACATGGTCGAAGCCGAAATCTGGATTCCCCTCCCCTAAACACATAGTATTAAAGCACAATTCCCTCCTCTAATTAACAGTCATAAATCACATTCTCCAATTAGTTTGAAACGCAGACCTTCCCTCCAGTTCTTCAACCGGTCATTTCTTATCATCTCTTATTTCAAACAACCTTAAAAAACATTCTACTACAATGTTGTTATGTCTAACTAATTCCCATACACATTCTTCCTCCTCCCCCCAACACATATTTATGGAAAATCACATTGGAAAGAAAGCAATTTTATATCAACTAATACAAAGCACAGAATTCTTTTTAAAGGCAGTTTTGCCAAAGAAGTGAACAGTCTTAAAACTTAATAAAATAGTGAATAATTTACTACTCACCCAAAAAACCCTTTGCAGTCAAGACAATTCTCCTTCCCAAGGTACATAAAAATGCCTTTTTCTTTTGCACAAATTACTCACCTGCTTGCTGTTCTTTATTCAGTTTTATCTGGTGCAGCTGTAAGTCAGCAAGGGACCTGAGCCCCTCCTGGTACCACTGGCTGGCTATCCGTACCCCAACTCCAAAGATCTTGGTGAAAAGCTATGGAGAAAAACAAATTCCTTAGAACATCATCCCTATCTGGGAAAGCAAAAGGTCCATAATTCAACCATGTAACAGGTCAGGAAGGCAAGAAGAAATGTGGGCTCCTTGGTGGTCACTTAGCTTGATGATTTTCTTGCAGACATTTCATTACCAACCCAGATAACACCATCAGTGCACTGGTAGTGAAACGTCTGCAAGAAAACCAAACAGAGAGCACCAAGGAGCCCTCATTTCCACCCGGAGCTACAAATATTCTCTTCTATCTGAGGAAGAAATTCATACAGGCTGCGTATTTCCAAAAATGAAACAAGAGCATTGTTTGCTACTATCATTTCTATGCTCTTCTCTGGTGCAGTTTCTTAACTAAAGAAAGCTGGGTTCATTTTTAAGACTAGAAAATGGGTTACAATCCATTTTCAATCCTGGTTATTCATCTGGTAACTTGGGGCCAACACATCTGGCCTCAGATGAAAAGGCATTCAACGGATAGCCCGAAACCACAGGCTCCAATTAAGATCCCCAGGCTGGCCAAGTGGCTTATAGCAATAGGCTGAATCCAAGGAGACGTTCTTTAAAATCCTTAAATAATTTTCACAAAAATAAAATTCAGGGGACGGGGCCCTCTAAAGTCAGCGGATGGGTGAACATTTGCTCACATGTACTTTGTATATTTTTTGGGGGGGGGGATTTCACTAGATGTAGTAGTAATTTCCTGAGCTAGCTATCTGAATATAAAATATCCAGTGGAAATTGTGTTTTTTTTCACTCGGTGACTGAAATTTTAGCACATACCTTGACCCTAGCACACCGAGGACCAGAAACTTGCATTAGCACTCCAAAATTTAAGAAGTTGATCTTCTCCTGAAACCAGCAGTGCACCCAGGATTCAGGCAGTGTTCCCTTACAATAGGGATGCACGCAATGTTATACGCCAAATTCCATGCCGTGTCCCCCCCCCATCTAGCAGTAGCCATCGGCCACACAGAGTCTCTGCACCTTCATCGTCCGGTATCTCTCAGATTGTCTAACTTTCTCCACCTCTGCAGAAAGGCCATCTTCCAGCATTTCCTGTTGGGCAGACACAAACAATACAATAGGTCTTTGACTTACGACCACAATTGAGCCCAAAATTTGTGTTGCTAAGCGAGACAGTTGATAAGTGGGTTTTGCCCCATTTTACGGCCTTTCTTGACACAGTTGCACAGCAAGAGCCCCATTACAAACAAGAGACATCAGAATGCAAAATGAACAGGAGGGTGACGATGCTAGAATGGGATAAGACGACATGAGTATCCCTCTACCTGGATAATTCTCCGCGAATGCTCTCCGATGCCGGGCACGGGGTGGAGTTGCTGAATTCTGCTGACCTTCCAAGGCAGGGACTTAAGCACCGAAGCAGCTCTGGAAAAGGCCAAGCTCCGAACTTCACTGCCCGTGAATTTAGCCTCTTCTGCCATGGTTTCTAGGGCATCCTAGAAAAGGCAGCCAGGAACATTGAAGTCCAAGCCTTCCAAAGAGGGTTCAAACACTTAGACCCATGTTGCTGAGAGTATTACCGGTCTACATTGCGTCAAATTACCGTGAGTGTGGAGTTGTGGTGCTGCAGGGGAGTCCGTCTCTGGCAGATGTAGGGAGGCACCTGGCCTTTTTCTTCTAGTGGCGCCATCGGAGTAGTCACCTGAGCAAAAGGAAATAGGCAAGATGCTTCAGGACGTCCAAGTCATCCTTTTACTGAAACCAGTAATAAAACTGCCACCTTTTGTTCTGATTCATATTCTAGCAAAGTCCCAGAAACCATGAGAAGAAAGGAAGGAAGGAAGGAAGGAAGGAAGGAAGGAAGGGAGGGAGGGAGGAAGGAAGGAAGGAAGAAAGGAAGGAAGGGAGGGAGGAAAGAGGGAGGAAGGAAAACTTAAGAGATAACGTGGCTGGTTTAAATACACATGAACACACAACTTGTGCCCGATGCCTGGAGGCCGTGAGGGTCTGGATGGGGAGGAACAGACTCAGACTCAACCCGTCCAAGACCGAGTGGCTATGGCTTCCAGCGCCTCGGCATAGTCAGCTGATTCCATCGCTGACTATAGGGGGCGAAACTTTGGCCCCCTCAGATCGGGTCCGCAACTTGGGTGTTCTCCTGGATTCACGGTTGACATTGGNGGACACAATGTGAGTCGCTTTCTCACTACGACAAAAGCAAAGATACCACTTTAATACCACTTTACAAAGCCTTGTTAAGGTCACACTTGGAATACTGCATCCAGTTTTGGTCACCGTGATGGAAAAAGGATGTTGAGACTCTAGAAAGAGTGCAGAAAAGAGCAACGAAGATAATTAAGGGACTTAATGAAGAACGGTTGCATGAACTGGAAATGTCTAGTCTAACAAACAGAAGGACTAGGGGTGACATGATAACAGTGCTCCAATATCTCAGGGGTTGCCACAAAGAAGAGGGAGTCAAGCTATTTTCCAAAGCAGAAGAAGAAGGACAAGAAGCAACAGATGGAAACCAATCAAGGGGAGAAGCAACCTAGAAGAAGAAATTTCTTGACAGAACAACCAGTGGAACAACTTGCCTCCAGAAGTTGTGAATGCTCCAACACTGGAGATTTTAAAGAAGAGATTGAACAACAATTTGTCTGAAATGGTACAGGGTTTCCTGCCCTAGTAGGGGGTTGGACTAGAAGACCTCCAAGGTCCCTTCCAACTCTGTTATTCTATTCTATTCTATTCTATTCTATTCTATTCTATTCTATTCTATTCTATTCTATTCCTCTTGGTTCCCATTCTTCCTGGCCCTTCGCCCCATTCCCGTTGGGACACCTACCTGCGGGGATCATCTACAGAAAAACCTCTGCTGAGAGCCAAGGAGGTCAGGAACGTCTTCCGGCTTCTGCCCATCCTCTTCTCAACCAGGCCAAGCACCACTTCGGGGAAATGCACCGGGACCTCTGAGTTAGCTGGCTGAGGACCAGGCTCAGCCCGAGGAGGACGCCGTTTTTTCACGGGCAGCTGGGCCATGATCCGCCCCCTGATGGGACCTACTCTGCCTTCTCCAAAAAAAGCTCAGCTGCAGAAAGGAGAGAGAGAACGAAAGAGAGAAGGGGGGGAAAAAGAAAAGGAAAGGAAAAGGCTTGTTACAGTTTTTAAATGAAGACCTGGGAAGAGTTTTCAACTCTTTAAACTCCCTAGTTAGGCCAGCCTGAACCCTTCAGACACTCCTGCCCAACACTCGAGCATCAAACCTCACACCTGCCGTCTTTGGCTTTGCCTTTTGAAAGCACAGAAGTTCATTTCCTGCCCTTCAGGAAAAGAAGGCAGGTAATCAACAGGCAGGAAGGAAAAACAGTGAAAGAAACCGTCTCACCCGCACGGAACCCAGCAAGCCACATTCCCGACGTTATATTTTTTTTAAAAGAGAAGGAAAACGAGAGTCAACTTAGCCAGCCCTCCAAGTGAGAGACCCAGCCAGCTTCGGGTAGCCTCCTTTGCTTTGCCTTCTTTTTGTTTTATAACAAATTTTATTGCTTTTCCAGTTTTCCATTTAAGTATTTGGAAAGCAGCGTGGTGATTGGGTAGTCCATAGTTCAATAACAAAATCTTTAGTACATCTCTCAGGTTACATCATCAAAAATTCCTTCCCTATTTCCCTTAACATTTGCTATATCATATTTAGGCTAGTAAATTTCTAATTATGACAAACTCAGTTAAAACATTTAACAATACGTTTTTTGCTTAGACATATCCATATCCTGTTTTCAAGTTTTACCTAATTTTTAATGTTTAATTACAGTAGTCCAGTTTAACCTTTAACCTCCCTAGTATGTAAGTTTCGGGAAATCCCAATTTCCTTCATTTCACTACATAAAAGTTATAGTATTTAAAATGCACACACTACTTACTTCAATACATTCTTATTTTATTTCATAAACATTTTCTGTTTCTCATCCCAGGACATCCCCACTTACTAACAAGAGTATCCTTTATTATCTCAAGTCCCTCATCTGTATCATCTGGGGCCCAGGGATAGGCAACCTCGGCTCTTTTATGACTGGTGGACTTCACCTCCCAGAATTCCCGAGTCAGCATGGCTGGTTCAGGAATTCTGGGTATTGAAGTCCACAAGTCATAAAAGAGCCAAGGTCGCCTACCTTTGATTCTGGGCTAAACAATCGTTGGAGGTTAATTCCTAATAGTTAAACGATCATTTCCTTTATAAATCTAAATCCTAAATCAGTGATGGCGAACCTTTCAGAGACCGAGTGCCCAAACTGCAACCCAAAACCTACTTATTTATCGCCGGGTGCCAGGTGGGGGTGGCTGTGGTGGTCATGGCAGACTGGGTGGGTGTGGCCAAGGTGGGCGTGATCACCTTGATGTTGCTCATGGGGAGGGATGCCTGGGGGGGCCGGGCAGGGTTGGGGGAGATCCAGGGGGTCTCTGGCAGGTGGGGCGGTGGGCAGGAGGCTCGTCCTGCAGGATAAGGCGAGGCAAGGTGAGGCACGGTGGCGGTGCCATTGTCACAGGGCAAGGCGAGGCAGGGGCCAGGGCGGCTGCTGCCTGACACCATCAGCCCCCGCACAAGGAGGCCAGCGAGCGCAT